GCCACCAGGGTTCTTCCTTAGATCTTTACCAGGCCTGTGATCTGCTGCTGCCTTTGTGCTTTTGCGCTGTTAATAATGCACTTTAGAGCAGTACCTGGCACCTACCAGCTGCTGTGGAACGGAAGCTGATTAGAGGCGACCCCGCGTGTGTCAGCACGGAGCTGCGCCACACGGATTCCAGTGGTTAGTGTTTCAGAAGTCGATGGCCAGAACTTTCTTCTGAGGGTCCTGCGTGTGGGCAGCCGAGAGCATTAACTGCACCCCTCAGGGTGTCCCCCGGAACAGAGCAGCTATATGATGAGTAACAGATACTGTCACCAGAAGAAGCTCTGGTGGCACATCAACTAGGCGCTCAACTGCTAACGGAAAGGTTGGAATTTGAACCCACCATTGGCTCTGCCGGACAAAGACCTGACAGTCTGCTTCTGTCGGGGTTACAGCCTAGAAACCCCAGGGGCAACTGCACACCACAGGGCCCGCCGACAGTCATGGCTGTTCCTGTCACTGAGCCTGTCAACAGTGACGGCTGTTCCTGTCACTAAGCCCCGCAACAGTGACGGCTGCTATGGTCACTGGGCCCGCCGACAGTGACGGCCACTACTGTCACTGAGCCCGCCAACAGCGACGGACGTTACTGTCACTGAGCCCGCCAACAGCGACGGACGTTACTGTCACTGAGCCCGCCAACAGCGACGGACGTTACTGTCACTGAGCCCGCCGACAGCGACGGACGTTACTGTCACTGAGCCCGCCGACAGCGACGGACGTTACTGTCACTGAGCCCGCCGACAGCGACGGACGTTACTGTAGGTGCTGTCAAGTCACTGTCGCCTACTCTGCCTGCCATATTTGTTTAGTCCACAGGGTTCCCAAATCTCCAGGCAGACTGCTCTGACCACATGAATAGCTCACCGCTCCCCAACAGTCCAGTCTGCCTTTCAAGACTTGGGTCTCTATGCAGCCTCTCAGCCCCACCCAGAATTTCCCCAGAATCCAGCCACTAACTCTCCCCTCAGACTCTGCTCAAAGTCACCTTTCCACCATCTTGGACAGGCCCCCAAAGCTGGCCTTGCCCAGGTGCCCGGAGAACTGTGTGCCCGGGGGACTGTGTACCCAGAGGACTGTGTGCCTGGAGGACTGTGTACCTGTGATGGTGTTTCCAGACCGCAGGCCAGCTTCCTGTGTTCAGTCAGCCTCTCTCACCAGGGAATAGTCCTCCTGCTTTTTTAAATTGTGGTGAAAATCTATACAACAAACCCTTCACCAATGCAACGCTTTCCTCCTAGAATTTAGTGGCACAGATCATGCTCTCAAGTCATACATCCATGCTTGCTAACTTTTCCAAGTCCCTGCACGACCACTAACAACCTCAGTGCCCCTGGAACAGGACTTCCCCGTCCGTCCTGTGGAGCGCCCGGGATGGTCACGGATGACCTTTGCTGTCTGTGGAGCTGCTTATTCCACACGAGCAGAGCACACAGTGTTTGTCCTTCCGCGACCGCCTTCTTTGGCTCAGCATCGTGTTTGCGAGGTTCATCCGTGGGCTGGCGTGCCTCAGGGCTTCCCTTCTCGTCAGGACCGAGTAGTGTTCCTTTCACGTGTGGACCCGTTCTGTTTACCCGCTTGTCTGCTGGTGGGCGTTTTGGTTGTTCCCCCTGTGCTATTTTGGAAAGTACCACAGTGAGTGTTGTGCACAAGTTTCTGGGTTCCGGCCCTTGCTTCCTCTGGGTCTCCTCGCCCCCCGCGGTAGGAATGGATTTCAGATCACGTGGGGTTCTGTGTCCAGTGGGGAACCCACCATCCTGTTCTCCACAGGAGCTGGTTCCTGCCCCTTCTCTCTGTACCCCAGCACCCCGCTCGGTGCATGGCACCTACTAGGCGCTCGGGGAAGTTGGCTGAGCTGCTGGGTTCCATCGGCAGTTCCCCTGTGGACCTGTGGGCTCACTGTGTGGCCATGAACTACCTCTGGTCCCCGTCCCTGAAGCTCAGTCTGTGATGTTCTCCTCCAGACAGCCCTGGGCCTGTCCTTTGTCTGTCTGAGTGCCACCTGATGTCAGATACTGAGCACACTGTGAGCAGCCCCTTCAGGACCCGCACCTTGTTGACATCCCCCAGGTGTGCCCCGTGCACTTTGCCGTCCACTCTTGGCCTTCCTGGCCATCTCCTCAGACCTCTGCAAGGAGGGCCCCGCGGTGAGCGGCTATGGGTTTCCTCTTCCAGGAATCAGTGACCTTCAGGGACGTGACTGTGGACTTCACCCAGGAGGAGTGGCAGCAGCTGGAGCCTGCTCAGAAGGACCTGTACAGGGACGTGATGTTGGAGAACCTGAGGAACCTGGTCTCGCTGGGTAAGGGGCAGCCTCGCCGAGTTACTCACCGTCGGCCTGTGGCCCGAGGACAAACAAAGAGACAGATTGACAGCTCTGACAAGGAAGTCTAAACTACTGTGAGCTAACGACAAAGTGGGTAGATGGCAATACGGGAGGTCATATTTGCCACGTGTGTCAAAGGATTATAATTATATAAAGAGTTCCTAGAAATCAATAAGAAAAAGACTAAATGAGTGATAGAAATAATGCACCAAGTGTATGTGTTGGCAATTCATAGGTGTAGAAATACACAAGGTTACACCTTATAAAACATTTTTTAACCTCACTGATAGTCAAAGTGAGTCCTTGGGTGGCGTAAGCTGTCGAGCGCTTGACCCCGAGGCAGAAGTTGGTGCTTTGAACCCACAGAGGTGCCTCAGAGGGCAGGCTTGGTGACGGGCTTGTGAAAATCCTACAGTGCACAGATCTGCCCTGTGCACACGAGGTCCCCGTGAGTCGGAATCAGCTCACCCGGAAGTAACAACAGAGAAATGCAGACTGAGGCACGAGCTGTGCTGACGACGTAGACGGGGGTTAAAAAAGAATGACAGGACCTGTATACAAGGGTTAAGGTTTTGTGTCGTATGTCATCCAGTCTATTCCAGTTCGTAGCAACCCTCTGTGACAGCGGAACTGCCCACAGGGTCTCCCAGGCTGTCAATCTTCACGGAAGCAAAGCCCAAACCACACCCACTGCCGTGGAGTCCATTCTGACCCACAGCGCCCCTAGAGGACAGAGTGGAACTGCCCACAGGGTCTCCCAGGCTGTCAATCTTCACGGAAGCAAAGCCCAAACCACACCCACTGCCGTGGAGTCCATTCTGACCCACAGCGCCCCTAGAGGACAGAGTGGAACTGCACCACAGGGTCTCCAAGGCTGGCAATCTTCCCGGAAGCCGACATCTTTCTCTGGCGGAGTGGCTTGTGAGTTTGAACTGCTGACCTTCCAGCTATAAACCAAGTGCTTTAACCCCTATACCACCATGGCTCCTTTCTCTCGTTTTTGGAGCGTAAAATTGGCATTATCAGTCAAATTTCTAACCCTTGAATGATTAGGGATATGTCTTTGGAAATCCCCTTCCCCCAAGACTGTACACAGGAAGGAGGAAAAAAAAAAAAAAAAACAGCCACCCAGATTATCCAGATATCCAGAGGGGTTTATTGCGATGGGAAACAGTGCAGCCGCCCAAGGTGAGAACATCCGTCGATGCAGGACCATGTCCCGTGACGCACTGTCGAGTGAAGACCTAATTCCGCAGCGAGGGGGTGGCCCTGTAGCTGCTGTTCCTTGACCAGCTTTCTTGAGGTGTAGCTGACATCAGGGGAGCCTGGCTGGGATGAGGCAAGTCCTGCAGGTCTGCTCCCGTGAAGATCAGCGCCTGGAAAAGCCCTGGGGGCAGCTCTGTCCTGTCACATGGGGTCACCATGCGGCGGGTCAACTCAGTGGCACTGAAAACAGCTGACACACAGTACAGTCCATGCAGCATGTGCTCAGAGTGCACTATTTGATAAGATTCGACGTGTGTCCACACCTCTGGCAACAGTGCCACCTTAAGATAATGAGCTGGTTCATTCTGCAGGAGGCTCCTTGGGCCCTTTGTAATCCTGCCTCCCAGCCTCCAGCCTCCAGCCTCCCAGCCTCCCAGCCTCCTTGCCTCCTTGCCTCCCAGCCTCCCAGCCTCCAGCCTCTCATTTTCCCAGCCTCCAGGTCCCAGCCTCCAGCTCCCAGCCTCCCTTCCTCCCAGCCTCCAGCCTCTCAGCCTCCAGCCTCCCAGCCTCCCTGCCTCCAGCCTCCCTGCCTCCCAGCCTCCCTGCCTCCCAGCCTCCAGCCTCCCTGCCTCCAGCCTCCCTGCCTCCAGCCTCCCTGCCTCCCTGCTTCCCAGCCTCCAGCCTCCAGCCTCCCTTCCTCCCAGCCTCCAGCCTCTGAGCCTCCAGCCTCCCAGCCTCCCTGCCTCCCAGCCTCCAGCCTCCCTGCCTCCCAGCCTCCCTGCCTCCCAGCCTCC